CACATAGCGGACCAACCTCTTGGCCGCTTCCAGCTGCTCATGACTGGGGCGTGAAACCACACTGGCAAGCCTGGATGTTGCAAAGGCAATGTCAGGCCGTGTGTGGTTAGCCGCATAGTTGAGTGCCCCAACCATGGAATGAAAAAGTTTCCTGTCACTCTCACCCACCACCTCCTCATCAGCACAGGGCTCTACAGTGAACCCCGAAGGCAGTGGGGTGGCTGGCTTTCCTCCATCTTGCAGCCCATACTTCTCAGCCAGCCCCTCACAATACTTTCTCTGGTGCAACCTCAACACTCCCTTGTCAAGGTCCCTCTCCACATGCATCCCTAAATAGTACTTCACATCTCCCATCTTGGAGCACTTAAACTGCATCTCCAGCATCTCCTCCACATGCTCAATCATTGCAGACGACTCAGAGAAGAGCAGGATGTCATCCACATACACCAGGAGCATGAGAAACTGCTCCTTCTCCTGCAGCAGGAACAAGCTGTGATCACACTCACTCTTCTTGAAACCCCCAGCCAGCAGAGTCTCCTCTAACTTGTGGTACCATGCACGAGGAGCCTGCTTCAGGCCATAGATGGCCTTCTTCAGCCTGCACACCCTGCCGCTCCCATCATCCAAACCCTCAGGCTGTAACATGTACAGCTCCTCCAGAATGATCCCATTGAGGAAGGCGGTGGTGATGTCCATCTGCTTCACCCGCCATCCACGGTATGCTGCCATTGCCAATGACACCCGAAGTGTTGTGCCTTTCCCCACAGGAGCATAGAGCTCGTTGAAGTCCTTTCCCTTTGTCTGTTGAAACCCCTTAGCCACAAGCCTTGACTTGTAGCGGGTCAGCGCCCCATCAGGTCCGTACTTGTGCCTGAAAATCAGCTTGGAAGAAATGGCCTTCTTCCCAGGTGGCAGCTCACACAGCTCCCACGTCTCATTCTCTAGCAGAGAATCATACTCCTCCTTCACACTCTGCTTCCACTTTTCAGCATCGGGCCCGCTCAATGCCTCAGCTAGCGTCTTGGGCTCAGGGACGGCTGCCCAGTAGCAGTGTGCTATCTCATCCTCATCACACTGCTCAGCCACACTCCCAGCCCTTACCACCTTTGGCTTGCCACGGCTTGCATAGGTCAGCCTGTTAGGAGGGCGCACATCCCTCCTAGGACGGTCAGCCGTACGTCCGGCACCTTGTGGAGCACCTTGCTCCTCCTGCTGCTGCGGCTGCTGCTGCTGTTGCTGCTGCTGCTGCTCCTCCACCTCAGGTTCTCCCCCATCCTCTGTCACCCCAGAGATCTCATTCTCAGAGACAGAAACCTCCACTTGCCTTGAAGGCCGCTGCACCTCATCGGCCTCGACAATTAGCGGTGTCGTTGGAAGCTTCTGCTGCTGCTGCTGCTTCCACTCCTTGTAGTACAAGGACTCAAGGAACTTCACATCCCTTGACACAGTCAGCTGCTGGCTGGTCAAGTCCCAAATCAGCCAGCCCTTGTGATCCTTAGCAAGCCCCAAGTGCACACCCCATCTCCCAGAAGCTTCCAGTTTTCCCCTCTTCTCCTTAGGCACATGAAACACCACCATGCACCCAAAGGCTCTCAGCATGTTCACAGCTGGTGCAATCCCATACCACTTGGTGTAGGGGACCCACTGCTTGTCCCCCACAGTCGCCAGCACCCTGTTCTTCACAACAACGACCTGCCGCAGTGCTGTCACCCAAAACGGATCCGGCAGCCCTGCACGCCCAAGGAGAGTGCGAGCACCTTCCTGCAGGGTCCGGTTGAACCGCTCAGCCACGCCATTCTGCTGAGGGTTGTAAGGCACTGTGAGCTGATGCTGGGTCCCCTTCCGCTTCAGCTCCTTCTCAAAATCAGCGCCGATGAACTCTCCTCCGTTGTCAGTGCGGATCACCTTCACCTTGTGTCCGCTTTCCCTTTGTGCTCTCGGCATCCACTCCTTAAGAACAGCCGCTGCCACCTCCCCCTTAGTCTTGAGAGGGTACACCCACACCGCACGCGTGTGGTCGTCCACAATCGTCAAGAAGTAGCGGCTGCCCGAGAGAGAAAGGGCCCTCGTGGGGCCCACCACATCCATGTGCACTAGTTCAAGTGGTGCCTTGGCTGGTCCTGTGCTGCTGCTGAAGGGAAACTTCGTGAATTTGGTCTCAAGGCAGGTAGGGCAGCTCCCAATCTCCTTTGCTCCCCCCTTCACCTCCAGCCCCTTCAAGCACCCATCCTTTACCAACTTCTGCAGCATAGGAATGTTCACATGGCACAGCCTCTCATGCCACGTCTCCCAATCAGCCTCACCACTCCCAGATGAAGCCTTTGCCCATGCAGCTGTCGCATCCACACCAGCAAGCACCTCACCATGTGGCTGTTGTGGCTGCTGCACCTTCTTGACTGCATCCAGGGCCCCAGCAGTTGGTGCAGTCTCCTCTCCTCCCGCAGTTGCTTTAGCCGCTGCCGCTGCCTTTGCCGTTGCTGGTGGTTTCCCCTTCCAAGGGATGATGGGCAGCTGCCACAAGTCCTTGATGCAGCTGCTCTTCTCCTCCAAGTTCCACAGCAGCAACTTCCCAAGCTTTGCACGGCAGCTGGTTGGGCCGAAGGTAACTTCAGCCTTGCTCTTCTGCAGCCGGCGCACAGAAAGAAGGTTAGCGGACAAACCTTCAACCAACAGCACATTCCCAAGCCCCACAAGCTCTCCATTGGCTCCCATCACCTTGGCATTCCCAACACCAATCACAGGGAGCAAAGCACCTGAAGCGGCAGCCACAAACTTGATCTTCCCAGGAGGTTTTACCTCATCAAGCAAATCTGCCCGTGGGGTCATATGACTCGTGCAACCTGAATCGATCACCCAGTGAGTGAGGGGGTGCATCACAACCTTCCCAACTGAACCCACATCACCCCCACTCCCTTGCACATCCTCAACCATGAGGAACATCCCAGGGTGGGCTTTACCTTGTGCACCATCACCTTGTGCACCTGAACCTTGCACAGCGCCACCGCGTGCACGTTCACCACTTGGCGGCTTCATGCCTGGAGGGGCCCATCCCTCAGGCCGGCTGAAACACTTGAACCACGGGTGTCCAGCCTTCTTGCAGTACCAGCACGCACCCTCCATTCGGGTGCTCCCCCTGCCACCAGAGCTCCCATGCCCCTCATTGTAGTCACCTCGGCCTCTCCCTCTGCCAAAGCCTCTCCCACGGCCTCGGCCTCTCCCTCCCCCTCTTCCTCTGCTGCCTCCTGCAGCTCCATACCCCTCAGCAGTTTTGTTGGCAGCACCACCTCCCGTGTGGCGTCTGCGGAAGTCCTCCTGCAGAATCTGCTGCCGTAGCCACTCAAACGTCCATTTGTCCTGCTGAACGTTGAGGGTGGGGATGAGGTTGTCCCACGAGTTGTCGAGCACCGAGATGATCTTGGTGCACTGTTGCATCTGCGACACTTCGCTGCCCGCCGCTGCCATCCTCGCATAGGTGTCCTTGATCTTGTCAAGGACCGGTTTCACATCATCTCCCGGTTTCATGGAGAGGGCAGCCAACTCCTTCTCCAACACAATCACCATCGGCAGCGTGTTGGGCTGAATCACGTCGCGTAGCAGCTTCCATGCCTTCGGTCCGGAATCATCCAACTCCACCAAATCCTTGATGTGCTGGAACATGTCGTTGTTGACCGATTGGAGGATGAGGTCGTACAGCACCGCGCTCTTCTCAATCCACCGATCGCGGGCATCTCCTTCCCCCGGCATCTTCTCCTCTCCCATTGCAATTTTCAGCAGCTTGTAGCGCTTGAAGGCGCTCCGCATCCGCCCGCTCCATTCCTCATAGTTGGAGCCATCCAAAGCTTCAATCTTGGATGGTGGCGGCTCACTCCTCTTCTCAGCTGCATCTCCACTCCCTTGATTCATCTCCTCTGCTCCCAATCAGAGGTTTCAGCTCCCCCTTTTGCGGGTCACAATGTAGATCCACACAATCTTCACAAGTGTCAGCGCCAACGAAATTTCGGCAGAGTTTCCCCTTAGCGGAAGTCACATCCAACCTCCAGAACTCCACTTAGGCACGCCCACAGGCCATGGTGGGTCTAGGAGGGTCTTCACACTTCAGTAGACTCCCCACAAGGTCCTTAATCACCTCTGATACCACTTGTTAGAGACTAAGGACGGAGTCTATGAAGATTAGGTGCCTAAATTTCTCAAAATCGTTGGTCCCTATTTCTGGATAGAATAGTTGCGCTCACAAGAAACGCCGTCGACGAAACGTGCACAGTCTAAACTTCACTAAACTCATATATGTTGTAGCCCTACTCCGTGGCTACAATTCCCAAGTTGAAACGTATCAAGAGGTGAAGTAAATCTCGACTTATCAATTTCGGCGCACAGGGGGGTATGCTGCCATAAGAACTTAACTCAATCACAAAGTTCACACAAGTTCACACAAGAGAATTAGAGTAGCACTAAACCAGGTGGAAGGGATAAGGAGGACGAGAGGGAAGGTCCCAAGAGAGTCCCCAACCAAGAAAACCCCATGCCATACAATTCCCTTCCCCATAGGCAACCCAACTTTGACCTTTGTCACTATCCCAACCTCCACAATCCACCTCAACCCAACTTGGCCACACTTGCCAACCTGGTTTGGTTTCTCCCAACCATTTGGCAGCAACTACAGTAGAAAAGACGAATTTCCCAACCCCCAAAAGTCTGTACCCCATATTGAGTCAACCCCACAACTTCCCATAGTCACCACAACCAAATATCAAAAGCATACGAACTCCAACGTTCGTAACTTTCTAGTTCGTGCTCCGATTGAAGCGATACTTGGTTCCTCGGAAAGCTCTTGAGCAGAGGAGTCACTTCAGATATCTGCTCAAGCCAAATAACATTCACACACACACTCAGAAAAACCAAACCGCACAAAACACAAATTCTTGCACACACTCACAACACGCATGCAACGCACGAACATATGATGGGAGGCAGACAGACGTGAATGCGAATGGTAGCATCACTCAACAAAGGCATGAGAGGGGGAAGGCATGAGAGGGGGAAGGCATGAGAGGGGGAAGGCATGAGAGGGGGGAAGGCATGAGAGGGGGAAGGCATGAGAGGGGGAAGGCATGAGAGGGGGAAGGCATGAGAGGGGGAAGGCATGAGAGGGGGAAGGCATGAGAGGAGGAAGGCATGAGAGGGGGAAGGCATGAGAGGGGGAAGGCATGAGAGGGGGAAGGCATGAGAGGGGGAAGGCATGAGAGGGGGAAGGCATGAGAGGGGGAAGGCATGAGAGGGGGAAGGCATGAGAGGGGGAAGGCATGAGAGGGGGAAGGCATGAGAGGGGGAAGGCATGAGAGGGGGAAGGCATGAGAGGGGGAAGGCATGAGAGGGGGAAGGCATGAGAGGGGGAAGGCATGAGAGGGGGAAGGCATGAGAGGGGGAAGGCATGAGAGGGGGAAGGCATGAGAGGGGGAAGGCATGAGAGGGGGAAGGCATGAGAGGGGAAGGCATGAGAGGGGGAAGGCATGAGAGGGGGAAGGCATGAGAGGGGGAAGGCATGAGAGGGGGAAGGCATGAGAGGGGGAAGGCATGAGAGGGGGAAGGCATGAGAGGGGGAAGGCATGAGAGGGGGAAGGCATGAGAGGGGGAAGGCATGAGAGGGGGAAGGCATGAGAGGGGGAAGGCATGAGAGGGGGAAGGCATGAGAGGGGGAAGGCATGAGAGGGGGAAGGCATGAGAGGGGGAAGGCATGAGAGGGGGAAGGCATGAGAGGGGGAAGGCATGAGAGGGGGAAGAGGGGGAAGGCATGAGAGGGGGGAAGGCATGAGAGGGGGAAGGCATGAGAGAGGGAAGACATGAGAGGGGGAAGGCATGAGAGGGGGAAGGCATGAGAGGGGGAAGGCATGAGAGGGGCGGGGTGATGGAAAGAGGGAGAATGGGGCGGGGTGATGGAAAGCGGGAGAATGGGGCGGGGTGATGGAAAGCGGGAGAATGGGGCGGGGTGATGGAAAGCGGGAGAATGGGGCGGGGTGATGGAAAGAGGGAGAATGGGGCGGGGTGATGGAGAGCGGGAGAACGGGGCGGGGTGATGGAAAGCGGGAGAACGGGGCGGGGTGATGGGAAGCGGGAGAATGGGGCGGGGTGATGGAAAGAGGGAGAATGGGGCAGGGTGATGGAAGGAGGGAGGTTAAGATGGGGTGATGGAAAGCGGGAGAATGGAGCAGGGTGATGGGAAGAGGGAGAATGGGGCGGGGTGATGGAAAGCGGGAGAATGGGGCGGGGTGATAGGAAGTGGGAGAATGGGGCGGGTTATGGAAAGCGGGAGAATGGGGCAGGGTGATGGAAAGCGGGAGAATGGTGCGGGGTGATGGAAAGAGGAAGAATGGGGCGGGGTGATGGAAAGAGGGAGAATGGGGCGGGGTGATGGAAAGAGGGAGAATGGGGCGGGGTGATGGAAGGAGGGAGAATGCGGCAGGGTTCAGGCGCTCAATTTTGAGAACCACATGGAACGAAATGGAAGCACTTGTTGTGGATGCGGAAAATAGTCTAATCTAGTGGACTAGCGCAAAAGAAGAGGCATCCAATGCAGTGGACTAGTCAATGTGATACGTTGGGTAGACTGGTCAGTATGCGCACCTATAATGGGCGTACCACGCATGGTTCAGGTGCTCAAATTTTGAGAACCACATGGAACAACATGGAAACACTTGTTGTGGATGCGGAAAATAGTCTAATCTAGTGGACTGGAGCAAAAGAAGAGGCATTCAATGCAGTGGACCAGTCAAAGTGATGCGTTGGGCAGTCTGGTCAGTATGCACACCTATAATGGGCGTACCACGCATGGTTCAGGCGCTCAAATTTTGAGAACCACGTGGAACAAAATGGAAACACTTGTTGTGGATGCGGAAATAGTCTAATCTAGTAGACTAGTGCAAATGAAGAGGCATCAAATGCAGTGGACCAGTCAAAGTGATGCGTCGGGCAGTCTGGTCAGTATGCGCACCCATAATGGGCGTACCACGCAGGGTTCAGGCGCTCAAATTTTGAGAACCACATGGAACGAAATGGAATACATTGTTGTGGATGCGGAAAATAGTCTAATATTGTGGACTAGCACAAAAGAAGAGACATCCAATGCAGTGGACCAGTCAAGTGATGCGTTGGGCAGTCTGGTCAGTATGCTCACTTATAATGGGCGAACCAGGCAGAGTTCAGGCACTCAAATTTTCATAGCCACATGGAACGAAGTGGAAAAAAATGTTGTGGATGTGGAAAATAGTCTAATCTAGTGGACTAGCACAAAAGAATAGGCATCCAATGCAATGGACCAGTCAAAGTGATGCGCTGGGTAGTCTGGTCAGTATGCGCACCTATAATGGGCGTACCATGCATAGTTCAGGAGCTCAAATTTTGAGAGCACATGGAACGAAATGGAAACACTTGTTGTGGATGTGGAAAATAGTCTAATCTAGTGGACTAGCACAAAAGAAGAGGCATCCAATGCAGTGGACCAGTCAAAGTGATGCGTTGGGCAGTCTGGTCAGTATGCGCACCTATTATGGGCGTACCAGGCAGAGTTTAGGAGCTCAAATTTTGAGAACCACATGGAACGAAATCAAACAAATTGTTGTGGATGTGGAAAATAGTCTAACCTAGTGGACTAGCACAAAAGAAAAGGCATCCAATGCAGTGGACCAGTCAAAGAGATGCGTTGGGCAGTCTGGTCAGTATGCGCACCTATAATGGGCGTACCACACATAGTTCAGGCGCTCGAATCTTGAGAACCACATGGAACGAATTAGAAACACTTGTTGTGGATGTGGAAAATAGTCTAATCTAGTGGAGTAGCACAAAAGAAGAGACATCCAGTGCAGTGGACCAGTCAAAGTGATGCGTTGGGCAGTCTGGTCAGTTTGCGCACCTATTATGGGCGTACCAGGCAGAGTTCAGGCGCTCAAATTTTGAGAACCACATGGAACGAAATGGATAAAATTGTTGTGGATGTGGAAAATAGTCTAATCAGGTGGACTAGCACAAAAGAAGAGGCATCCAATGCAGTGGACCAGTTAAAGTGATGTGTTGGGTAGTCTGGTCAGTATGCGCACCTATAATGGGCGTACCACGCATACTTCATGCGCTCATATTTTGAGAACCACATGGAACGAAATGGAAACACTTGTTGCGGATGTAGAAAATAGTCCAATCTAGTAGACTATGAGCTTATGAGCTTGCTTTGACAGTGAGAGCCGAGACAGACGACGGAGAGAAACGAGAGTTGGTGGCAAGTTTGGCGAGAACACGGGAGACAACAGGGCGAGCATCACGGTAGTAGTCAGAGATAGGGGTAGGGGAGACAGGAAGAGAGGATGGAGGAGGAGACAAGAGAACGGACTCAGGTGGAGAACGACGACGAGAAGAACAAAAGAGGGCAGTGTGGAGGTCGGTGACGGGGGACGAGGGACGAGCACGCGGAGGAGAGGGACGGACACGGTAGTGTGAGACAATAGGAGGAGAAGACGGGGACCGAGGAGAAGACCAGACAGCAGGAGAGACATCAGGAGGAGGAAAAGTAGGGCCAAAGGCCGGGAGAGACGGAGAGTGGACAGGAGAAGAGGAGGGAAGACCAAGGGCCCGGAGGCCACTCACGGGCGGGAACAACTGCCGCTCCAGAGGGAGCTGCTGCTGCAGCAGCGGCTACTGCTGCTGCAGCGGCTACTGCTGCTGCTGCCGCTCCTCCTGCTGCTGCTGCTGCTGCTGCTGCTGCTCCTACAGGTCCAACTGCCGTAGCTCCTGCCTCTCCCTCTCCAACTACTCCTGCTCCTCACGCGCACGACGGCGGGCTGCCTGGAGACGCGTGTCGTGGCGGTGGGGAGGCTGAGCGGGCACTGCAGAAGTAGTGTCTCTAACTCCAGTCTCCTCAGAACTAGCACCCCCAGTGCCAGTGTCTCCAGAAGTAGCACCACCAGTATCAGTGCCGCTTGCTCTAGAACCCCCTGAACTAGCACCACCTGTGCCAGCACCTCCTTCTCTAGCACCCCCAGACCGAGCACCTCCAGTGTAAGCACCCCCAGCTCCAACACCCCCTGAGTCTACTGGAACCTGTCGCGGAATTGCCGAAGGCTGCTGAGGGGACTGTGAGGAGGACTGCGGGGAGGGAGACGCTACCTGACGCGCGACCGAGGGGAGAGGGGTAGCATGAGACACACATGACGGGGCAGGACCACAGGGGGCGGGGGTACCGGAGGAGCGGGAGCCGGAGGAGGAGAGGAGGAGGAGGAAAAGAGGAGGAGGGGGGACCGGGAGACCTCGACAGGGGTACCGGGTGTAGGACACTGACTTGTCAAACCGGACGTCACGGAGTCTAGGAAGTGGTGGAGGGGCGGGTGGTAAAAGGCGTAGTCGGGAGAGTCTACCGGGAAACCAAGGAAGATACAAGGGATGGCGCGAGCCGAGAGCTTGTCCGCAGAGGTTTCGCGAACCCTGGTGTCGCGAACAAGCACAAGGCAGACCAAGACACAAAAGGCCAACCCAACACCAGGGGACCCGGTCCAAAGACTGGTCGGTGAAGCCTCTGGACGCAAGACACGCGGCTAGAGGTTCAGCTGGTGGGCGGCGTAGCGAACCGCGTAGGGCCACAGAAAATGGGGCGCATGGGCATGGATCATGGACGTGCGGGCGATATCGAAAGCGGGAGAACGGGGCGGGGAGATGGAAAGCAGGAGAATGGGGCGGGGTGATGGAAAGAGGGAGAATGGGGCGGGGTGATGGCAAGAGGGAGAATGGTGCGGCGTGATGGAAAGCGGGAGAATGGGGCTGGGTGATGGAAAGAGGGAGAATGGGGCGGGGTGATGTAATGAGGGAGAATGGGGCGGGGTGATGGAAAGCGGGAGATCGCGGCGGGGTGATGTACAGCGGGAGAACGGGGCGGGGTGATGGAAAGCGGGAGAACAGGGCGGGGTGATGGAAAGCGGGAGAACGGGTCGGGGTGATGGAAAGCGGGAGAACGGGGCGGGGTGATGGAAAGCGGGAGAACGGGGCGGGGTGATGGAAAGCGGGAGAACGGGGCGGGGTGATGGAAAGGGGGAGAATGGGGCAGGGTGATGGAAAGCGGGAGAATGGGGCGGGGTGATGGAAAGAGGGAAAATAGGGCGGGGTGATGGAAAGAGGGAGAATGGGGCGGGGTGATGGGAAGAGGGAGAAATGGGCTGGATGATAAATGGAAAGAGGGAGAATAGGGCGGGGTGATGGAAAGAGGGAGAATGGGACCGGGTGATGGAAAGCGGGAGAATGGGTCGGAGTGATGGAAAACAAGAGAATGGGGCGGGGTGATGGAAAGCGGGAAAATGGGGCGGAGTGATGGAAAGCGGGAGAAGGGGCGAGGTGATGGAAAGAGGGAGAATGGGGCAGGGTGATGGAAAAAGGGAGAATGGGGCGGGGTGATGGCAAGAGGGAGAATGGTGCGGGGTGATGGATGGGGCGGGGTGATGGATAGAGGGACGGTGCGGAGTGATGGAAAGCAGCCGCATGGATCATGGACGTACGAGCGACGTCCATGATCATGCCAATGCAGCGCTCAGCAATCCCATTTTGCTGTGGAGAGGCCGGAAGCGTGAACGTCTGGTGGATGCCCTCCGCACGACAGAAGGCTCGCAGAAGGTCGGAGGAAAACTCTCCACCTCTGTCAGAGTGCAGACGCAGAACAGGAAAGTCCGAGCCGAAACTCTCTCTGATCTGGAGACGGGCAGCGCGGATCCAGTCGATCAACACCTCAGTGACCTCACCCTTGCGGCGCAAGGGGAAGACTGAGGTGTAACGCGAGTAGTCGTCAACCACCAGAAGGAAGTAACGCTCGTGACCCTGTCCACGGACGCGGGCTGGGCCCCACACGTCCATGTGGAGAGTCTGCAGCGGAGCCTCTGTCGGAGGAAACTCGGAGGAGTGAGGAGCGGCGCGCTGCCGCCCCTCGACGCAGGGAACGCAGGTAGGGGCAGGCCCCAGGGGAAGGGGAGGGAGGGACCGGGGCAGACCAGAGACAAGGACACGGGAGGCCATGCCCCGGAGACGAGGCAGGGAGGGGTGACCAAGGCGGTGGTGCCAGAGGAGAGTCTGGTGAGACAGGAGACGACACGAGCAGGGGGCAGACTCAGGACCAGACCTGGACGCTGCAGCAAACACCTGACTTGACGCAGCTACCTGACCAGACGCAGGAACCGAAGGAGACTCGGTAGTGAGTGTGTACAGGCTCGACCCCGGCTGACGGGTAAACGTGGCCAAGTGTCGGCCCGTCCGAGCACACGTGCAGTGGGTCACTCGCTGACTCGCAGGAGTGAACTGGTCAACCCCCCCATCCTGTAGGTCAGCACCACTCACCAAGTTCGTAGAGAAAGAGGGGAGGTAAAGACCTGACAGGGAGCCAGAAGGGGCCGCCGGACACGGTAGGACAGTGGAGTAGTGGGCAAGGACAGGACCCCCAGAGGGGTCTGCCAGGGAGACTGCAACCGGCCGACTAAGCGGCGTGAGTGTGGTGCGGTCTCGAAAGAAGGAGCGAGAAGCTCCCGAGTCAAGGGTGAAGGTGTGGAAGATCGCAGCAGGCGCGGCACCAGAGAGGGCAGACTCACCAGTACCTGGAGCAGTAGACTCACGAGCACCTAGAGCAGCAGCCTCACTGGCACCTAGAGCAGGAGACGCA